GGAAGCTGCCAAAATGAAGAGACAAAGAAACATGGTCCAAGTGAAAGAACAGATCAAAACTCCAGAAAAAGAGCTAAGTACAATGGAGATAAGCAATCTACTAGATGCTGAGTTCAAAACACTCTTTGTAAGGATACTCAGGTAACTTAGCGAGGACCTCAGCAGCATAAAAAAGATCCAGTCAGAAACGAAGGACACTAATTGAAATAAAGAACAATTTAAAGGGAAACAACAAAATGGATAAAGCCGAGAATCAAATCAATGTATTTGGAACATAAGGAAGCAAATAAATAAATGAATGAATGAACGAATAAATAAATAAATAAATAAATAAATAAATAGCCATGCAGAACAACAAGAATCAAAAAGAATCCCCCAAGATGAGGATAGGATAAACAGTCTCTGGGGCAACATTAAGAGGTCCAAGATTCACCTCATAGGGGTGCCAGAACAAGAAGAGAAAGAGCGAGAAATTGGAAATCTATCTGAAAAAGTAGTTGGAAAAAACTTCCATAATATGGTGAGGGAAATAGACATTCAAGTCCTGGAAGTGCAGAGAATCCCAGTTATAATGGATGCAAAAAGTCCACTCCAAAACACATCATTATCAAAAGACCAAAGGTTAAAGATAAAGAGAGACTTTTAAAAGCAAGAGAAAATAAGTTAGTTATCAGAAGGTTGCCAGATGGGGAGGAGGAGGGGATGAATGGGTGAAGAGGTGAAGGGATTAAGAAGTACAAATGGTTACAGAATAGCCATGAGGATGTACAGTATAGAAAATGGAGGAGCCACAGAACTTATAAGGTGACCCATGGACATGAATAATGGTAGGGGGAATTGCCTGAGGAAGTAGGCGTACTGAGTAGAGGGATTAAAGGGGGACAAATCAAGACAACTATAATAGCATAATCAATGAAATATAATTGAAAAGAAAATACAATGGGGCAGCTGATGGAGATTGGGAGAACTGAGGTCCAAAGGTGCCTACTTTGAAGGGGACTGAGGCATCATTGTCCTATGTACAGTGTTTCTTGTAACTTGTATCTTCAACACATGTCTCTGTTTTTCATATTACATGGCTGGATGCCTTATAGACAGACCTCGTACAGTAGTTCTTTTCCTTCTCATTGCATCTTATATCCATTTCCTTTTGGAAATTCAGCTTTACCCCCTCTCTTTTTATTGTTTTTTGTCATAAATTACTCCTTTTTTTAATGCTGTGTGTTCATTTCCAAATTGTGGTAGCCATTGTCTTATTTTTTAAGTATTTTTAACTCCTTTAATCCTGTGTTATATTTAAGTGTATAATGCCATATTCTGAACAAGTCTTGCAGTTTTCTTCTTTTAGTTGTCTTATAGTTTTTTATATTTTTGTCTTTTCATTTCAGGTAGAAGAACACCATTTAGTATTTCTTGTAATGCAAGTCTTGTGTTGGTAAATTCCCTCAGCTTCTTTATGTCTGGAAGTCTTTATTTCTCCTTCATTATCTAAAGAATGATTTTTCTGTATATATTATTTTTGGCTGGTGATTTCTCTCTTTCAATAATTTGAATATTTGATTCCACTATCTTCTAGCTGGTAGGGTTTATGTTGGAAATTTTGATGATAATCTAATGGAATTTCCATTATAGGTTACCAGCTTTGTTTTTCTGGCTGCCTTGACAATTCTTTCTTTGTCATTAATTTTTTACATTTTTAATATCATGTACCTTGCAGAAGGCCTTTTTGGATTAAGATAATTAAATGTTCTATTTGCTTCTTAGATTTGAGTATCCAGTTCTTTCCATAGGTTTGGGAAGTTCTCATTGATTATTTGAATAGGCTTGCTGTTCCCTTTTTTTTTCTTCTCCTTCTGGTATACTCATTATGCTTATATTGTTTTTTTTTCTGATGGAGTCAGATAGTTCTCATAGAGTTCATTTATTCTTCTTCTTTTTTTTTAGACCCCAGTCTATCTCTTCTTTCATCTGAGTCATTTCTAGATTTCTGTCTTTGATACCTAATTCTTTTCTCCACCTGGTCCTCTCTATTTCCTAAGCTCACTGGTTCATACTTTATTTCTTTGATTGAGTTCTTCAGATCCAGAATTTCTGTTTGGTTCTTTTCTGTAATTTCAGTCTGTTTGGTAAAGTAGTCCTTTTTTTTCATTGATTTTATTTCAGAGTTCATTACACTGCCTTTCTGAGTTTTCATAGGTCTTGTTTTTCTCCCCAGAACTGCAATCTTGAATTCTGTCATTTAAATAACTTATTTCTGTGCTTTTAAGTTTATTTTATGAAGATTTTTCATTTTCTTTCTAAGCTACTTTGTTACCTTGGTTGTTCATGGTATTTGATGAATTATTTCTCTGCCCAGACATTTATGGGAATGAAATCTGCTCTTTAAAAAAAAGTCTCTGACACTTGTATTTAGCAGGTTGGTAATAAGAAACCTTTCTTTTCTTCTCCAGTAGGTGGCACTGAAGTGTAAGTTTTTATTTTCTCTTGTGTGTCTGGTGCTTCAGGGATCTCTGTGGGGCATTGTTGCCTGGGCCATGGAAAATGCTCTGTATTCCCTGAGGATGTGGGCATCCTCCTCTGCAATCAGGTTGCCTCAGTCTTCGGGCACCATTTCTATGAGGGATTATGGTAAATGAAGAGGTTCCCATCCCTTGAGATCCTAGCACTGCCTTCTGCAACTAGATGCTAACAGCAGCACTATCTTATGTAAGGTGTCCCAGATGCTTCCATTGAGCACTGCTGTGATGTGTGAGGGCGGGGTGGACTGGGAGAAGCTGGTTTGTGCATTTGTGGCTTTGTTCTCCTCCCAGTAATGGCAGCTACGAGAACTGGAGTTCTCTAAGACTCAGCCTGTAGATCTTTTCATCTATAATCCTACCTAGGAAGATTTAATTCAGTATTGTTGCTTTTAATACCATTGTTATTCTGATGTGGCATATTTATTTCTCCATCTCAGATTTCTCCCCTGAACTCTAGAGTTCTTTCTCCTTAAAGCTTCACTTAGATGCCTGATAGCATTTCACACTTAGTATATGCAAAACTGAGTTCCTGGTCTCCCGACTCAATCCTGCTCCTCCCACCAGTCTTCTTTATCACAGATGGTGGTGACTCTGTTGTTCAACTTGTTAGGCCAGATACTTGAAATCACCTTGTTTTCTCTACATTAAGGTTATATTTAGAGTCTGACTGCTTTTAAACACCTTCACCACTCTTGCCCTTATTCATGTCAATGTCATGTCCTACAGCATTACTGTTGTTTGAGCAGGAACATGGCATCTGAAATGCTTAGAATCTATGACCTTTAATAAGATCATCTAGGCCAGTAGTTGTCACACTCTCCCTCAGTTGAACCCTCACTATTCATGGAGAGTGTCTCTGGGGCTACTGCTGGGACCAGTGGGAAGGTGAGTGGGAGACATTTGGGTGGCCTTTGTCTCCATCTGAAGTCACAACCAGAGCACCTTGACTTTTACCTATTTTATATGTTTGGTTTCTGTACCAGATTTAGTTGAAAAATTTGTTTTTCTGCTTTAAAAAATATAATCTTTTGTGGCTGATTAGATATTTAAAGGCTAGAGGAGGAAGATTGAAGACTCCTCTGCTTTGAAGACCTTGTCTTGAGATACTTGGTGAGAGGTGCCATGAGGAGAGGCAGGCTGCGCACTTCTGGGGGCTGGCAGCTGGGACATCACTTCTCAGCAGCTGTAGGTCCCAATCCAATTACTCATGTCATGCAGGCAGGAGTATCTGGAGCCCTAAAATCCGGAGGGACTGAGAACACAGTGGGATGATTTTAGGTAATATGTAATGATAGCCTACTGGGGAGTCATAGCACAATCAGAAATATTGGCCACCCATTGGTTTGAGATAGAAGTTTAAAGCTAATTTGTTTTCCAGCTAGAAGGTTGAGGCAAGAGCCAGTATCTGATACAAATAATTACAGTCACTTTATTTTCCAGGACACATCTGGTTTGAGCCTCACAGCTATCTTCTGAGATATCTGTAACAGAAGAAAAACTAACACTAACAAAGGCTGTGAGACTTATCCAAGTCACACATCTAAGAAGGGGCAGAGCCAAGGCTGAATCAAAGTTGATCTGCTGTAACAGCTATGCCTCCTCCAGTGACCCTGTTACCTTACGCTTTCAGCCTAAGTAACAGATGTCATCAAATGGGAAATGGAGTCTGGAGTATGCAACTGGATGAGAATCTGATAAGATATCAGACTTTGTAATCACAGTATGTTCCAGTCAGCAGCAGCATTTTCTTTTTCTGTTTATTGATTTGAGAAAGATATATATATGGGGCGGGGGGGAGAGAGAGAGAGGGAGAGGGAGGGAGAGGGACGGACATCAGTCTGCTGTTTCACTCATTTATGCATTCATTAGTTACTTCTCGTGTATGCCCTGACTGGGGATTGAACCCTCAACCTTGGTGTAATGTAACAACACTAACAAACTGAGCTACCCAGCCACAGCAGCTGTAGTATCTCTGAACTCACAAAATAACTAATGTAAAATTTTACGTTTTTGTAAAGAGTTTTTACACCAATTGTCCTCCATGATTCTCACAATGACCCTGAGTAAATGTTATGACCATATTATGGGTGAGAAAATAGAATTGTGGAGAGGTAGAGATTTGGTGAAGGCTGTACAATTGGTAAGCTGCAGATCAAGGAACAGAACCCAGGGCTTTGAAATGTTAGTCCAAGGGTCTTTACTTTATGGGAAAGTCATCATAACTTGTTATTGCTAGGGAAAGCAATCACATTCAGTAATAAATCTGCTTGAATAGGGGAGGAGGATATATCTAGGTGGTGGAGACCAAGATACAATTCCTGCATCTGAAGTACCTTCTGTGATTTGCTTTTTAATTCCTTCAAGCAGTAATGTTCTGCCTACCAGATATGGATTCTAGCAAATCTGTTTCCTTTTCTACTAATATTACCACTTTAGAAAGTTGCAAAAAATTCATTTTCTCTAAGTGTTTATCATTTTTAGGAAGAAGTTTTCCCATTTCCAGAAGTTAGCCAAGATGAACTTAATGAAATCAATCAGTTTGTGGGACCCATAGAAAAATTCTTCACTGAAGAAGGTACGTATGATTTTCTTTACTAGTACCCATTTCCATTTTAAGTGCAATGCTTTGGTGTTTATATTAGAAGCTGTATACAGAGGGGAAGCTCTCTTGAGTGCCATTAATCATGGGGAAATAGTGTCTGTTGACAATATTTTTTATGGATTGTCTCAGTGTTTATTTAATTATATTTGATTTTAAGACATCTAGTTTAGTGTTTCTCAAAGTATCTGGTGAAGGACCACTCTTAAACATTTCCAGAGTGTTGCAGACTGACACTTTTGTACAAATCAATACAAAAAAAATTAGAAAAATGAAATAAAAAAGTCAAGGACTTTATAAGCCCATGTGTAATTGGTTGAGTAGCAATGTAAAATTGCTGTAAATATTTTTAAAAGTTTACTCTCAATTTCTGTACTTAGCTTATAGAACCAGGAATAGTTTGTGGACCAACAGCAGGCTGCAGACTGCAGATTGAGGGTACCAGTGAGGATGTAGGATCCCTCCCTTAGAGTGGTCAGCCAACCCTGAGGAGCTCACAGGGGAGCAGTGATAGCAGATTGACAGCAGGGCTTCTCCAACACTGAGGGCACCAAAGAGTTCTTATTTATGTGGGTTTTATCTAGTAATATGTGCCTTATGAGAAGTTAAAACAAATTTTAAAAATACTGTGTTCATTTATTTATTTAAAAATAATAAACCCATTATATATAAACATAAATATTTTTAATGAAAAAAGAATATGTCCAAACAAAAAATAGTGAAGAGTGGTTTTTTAATAGTTTTCTGAATCTTTTAAGCATTTGACTTATTGTAATATGCAGCAACAGATAAGAATTCTAGTTGGCACTAGATGGAATCTAGCTGAATTCTCATATCTGTGTATATACATTTAATCTGTGGTACACATCATGAATTATTTGGAAAACTGCACTGTACACTTGCGACAGAATCTGAATTAAAATAGTTTGACACTGGACTCCTTGGAAGTGTCTTAGGCCCCCCAGGCAGATTTTGAGAATTGGTGCTCTATGTCATTAACTGTTGGTATGTTGTTAGTTTAAAAAGTTGCTTAGTTGTATATATATATCTTTTGATATCTAGATATGTTTATTTTTATTTTTGTTTTAGTTATCTTCTTATACCTTTTTTTTTTCAGTTCCTTAGTCCCTTGTTGTTTTATTTAAACTTTCACTATCTGATTTGTCAGGGATTTTTTAAGCCTTATTGAGGTATTTAAAGTGTAGGGTTTGATAAATTTTGACATATGTGTACCTCCAAGGAATCATCAACACGATTAGGGTAATAAACATATCTATTATCCCTAAAAGTTTTCTCGTGTCCTTTTCATTGCCTCCCTGTCCCTAGCACATCACTAATCAGCTCTCTGTCACAGTACATTAGTTTGCATTTTCTGGAATGTTATTTAAATAGAATCATACATTATGTATGTTTTTATCCAGCTTTTTTCAACATAATTTTGATTTTCACTATTTGCATATACCAATGGTTTATTCCTTTTTAATGCTGAGTAGTATTTCTTTGTATGAATATATTAAAATTTGTTTATCCATTCACTTGTTCATTAACATTTGGTATCCAGATATATCTGTCATTAAAAAAGATGTCATGAACATTTTTCTGAGTCTGGTGTAGACAATACCTAGAAGTGGAATGTCTGAGCCATATGATTGGTGTGTGTTTAACTCTTTAAGAAACTGCCAAACTATTTTCCAAACTGGTTACTGCTTTATATTCCCACTAGCACTGTATTAAAGTTCTGATTGCTCTACATTTTCACCAACACTTGGTATGATCTGTCATTTTAGTTTTAGCCCTTCTAGTGGGTGTGTTGTCTCATTATGGTTATGATTTGCATGTTGACTAATGATGTTGGGAATTTTTTCATAGGCTTATTTGCCATCTGAATTCCTTTTTTTTTTTTTTGGTGAATGCCTTCAGATATTTTATGCATTAAAAATATTGGGTATGTTGCCCTGGCTAGCGTAGCTCAGTGGATTGAGCGCGGGCTGTAAACCAAAGTGTTGCAGGTTCGATTCCCAGCCAGGGCATATGCCTGGGTTGCAGGCCATGACCCCCAGCAACTGCACATTGATGTTCCTCTCTCTCTCTCTCCCTCCCTTCCCTCTCTAAAAATAAATAAATAAAATCTTTTAAAAAATATTGGGTATGTTATATTATTGAGTTGTAAGAAGTCTTTTTATATTTTAGATACAAGTATTTTGTCTAATATATGTTTAGCAAAATTTTTTCATAGTTCCTAGTTTGACTTTTTTATTTTATTAAGTATCTTTTAAGGAGCAAAAGTTTTTAATGTTGATTAAATGTATTTTTTTCTTTCTTAATTCATGATTTTTGTATTTTATATATAAGCAATCTGTGAAGTCAAGGTCATGATGGTTATTTTTTGTCTATATTTTCTTTCAGAAGGTTTATATTTTTCACTTTTAACTTCTCGATTTATGATTCATTTCCAGTTAATTTTGTATATGATGTGAGGTAAAGTTTGAGGATGATTTTTTTCTGCATGCAACTACCCAATTGTTCCAGCAACATTTATTAAAAAGATTGTCCTTTTCCTATTTAATTGACTTGGTACCTTTGTCAAAAATCAACTGACCAGAGGATTCTGGGAAGACAGTAGTATAGGGAACACCAGAAATCTGTCTCCCCACCTAGACAGCAATTGCACTGGCAAAATCTGTTTTGGAGCTCTGGATTCTATTGAAGGTTTACAATTTCAGGGGAAGACTTGAACAGTGAATTGCAGTTAATTTGGATAAATTTTAGCTGTGAGCACAGTCACAGCTAACCCTAGCCCTGTAAATTTATTCCCAGAGCAGTTTGAACACAGCTTCTGGGAGCCCCAGTGGGCAAAAAGGACTCTGTCCATCAAATACTGGGCATCTGTGCTCTGATTGCTGCTTCTCTCACAAGAGGTGCAGACAAAGAGACAGAAGTCATTGTTTTTGTACCTTTCCTCATTGTTGTGAGTCCATCCCCCATTGGCTGAAATAACTTCCAGGGGACTTAAAAGACTGTACCTCCTCTATCATTTTTTTCCACTCTTCTGGGAACCAGATTGAAGACTAGAACTTTCAAAAGCAACCACATATATGTAGGAAATTAGAAAATCACCACACATTCCCAGGGATAGGCACAGACTCAAAAGACCTGAGAAGACCTTAAATTTATATCTCAGGCTGATCCTTGGCATACATATAGCTCACAACAATTAACAACAACAAAACAAAACCAAAATTACAAACAAACCAAAAACGACTATGTGGGATAGCAGAAAACTTAAATGCTTCAACACAGCAAAGGAACCAATTAAAAGAATGAAATGGCAACTTATGGAATGGGAGAAAATATTTGCAAACCATACATTAGTAAGGGGTTAATATCCAAAATATATAAAGAACTCAATACAACTCAATAACAAAAAACTGCTTAAAAATAGAGGAATGAAATAGACATTTTTCCAAAGAAGACATTCAGGTGGCCAACAAGAACATGAAAAGATACTCAATGAATCATCAGAGAAATGCAACTAAAAACCATAATGAGATAATATCGCACATTTGTTAGAATGGCTGTTATCATCAAGAAGGCAAAAGATAACAGGTGTTGGAGAGGATATAGAGAAAAGGGAACCGTTATACACTATTGGTGGGAATGTAAATTGGTACAGATACTATGGAAAACAGTATGGAGATTCCTCAAAAAATTAAAAACAGCATTGGCTGGTGTGGCTCAGTTGGTTGGAGTGTTGTCCCATAACCGAAGGATTGCAGGTTTGATTCTCAGTCGGTGCACATGCCTGAGTTGGAAGTTTGCTGCCTAGTCTGGGCATGGTATGAGTGTGTATGATCCTCAGTCCAGGCAAGTGCGGGAGGCAACTGAATGATGCGTCTCTCTCTTCCTTCCTTTCTTTCTAAAAGCAATGAAAAAAGGTCCTCAGGTAAAGATAAAAAAAAATTAATAATAGAACTACCACAAGATCCAGCAATTGTACTTTTGCATATATACCCAAAAGAAGTAAAAACAGGATATCAAAGAGGTATATGGACTCCATGTTTATTGCATAATAGCCAAGACATGGAAACAGTCTAAGTGCCTGTCAACAGGTGAATGGAAGTGTGTGTGTGTGCCCACATGTATGTATGTACATATAATAGAATATTATTTAGCCATGAGAAAGCAGAAATTCCTGCCATTTGTGACAACATACAGGGACCTTGATGACATTATGCTAAGTGAGATAAGTTAGAGAAAGATGTATACTGTATGATATTGCTCATATGTGGACTCTGAAAAACCTGAATTTGTAAAAACAGAGTTGAATAGTGGTTACCAGGAACTGTGGGGTGAGAGAATAGGAGAGATGTTGTTTAAAGGGTACAAATTTGCAACTGGTAGATAGAGACCTAATGCACAATTTAGTGATTATAGGTAACAGTGCTGTATTATAAACATCAAACATGCTAATAGACTAGATCTTAATTATTCCCATCACAAAAAAATGATAATTGTGTGACATGATAAAAGTGTTAGTTAAGGCAACAAAGACAGTTATATTGTGACAAAAGAAATGTATCAAATAAATATGTTGTACACCCTACACTTACACACTGTTATATGTCAAATACATTTCCATTTAAAAGACAAAAAAACAAAAGCAAAAACAGCACATCTTGGGGAAGAAGGAAAGTCTCATTTCTAGAGTTACCACATTATTAGATTTAAATGTCCAATTTTCAACAAAAAAAAATCACAAAGCACACAAATAAGCAAGAATGTGTGGGCCATTCAAAGAAAACTTCCTGTGAAAGACCTGTGGAAGGATTTACTAGACAAAGACTTTAAAATAGCTATCTTAATGATGCTCAAATAATTAAGAAAAGATGTGGAGAAAGTAAAAAAAAAATGATGTATTAACAAAATGAAAATGTTAATAAAGAGGAAAATCTAAGAATAAAAATTCTGGAGCTGAA